GTGTGCCCATTTTTTAAATCTATTTCACTGCCAGGAAATATTATGCACACAATGTAACTGCAATTGTCATTCACAGCAAATAGCAAATTGTGCAGCAATGGAGAGGAAAGGAAAGCATTGTTCTACATTCATAGCTCTGTCTGTTTTCCTGAGTTGTACTAAAAGCGCACCAGTGTTTCAGTTAGAGATGGGGAGAATTCCAATTCTTGTGATTTCTTGTGTGTGTGTGTGTGTGAGAGAGAGAGAGAGAGAGAGGGAGAGGGAGAGGGAGAGGGAGAGGGAGAGAGAGAGAGAGAGAGAGAGAGAGAGAGAGAGCGAGAGAGCTGACAATATCTATATCTGGCTTTATACTATGAATCCCATAATAGATTATTGAGACATCCCAGGCACATGTTTCACAAAACATGTGTGTTCTTTTTCAGAGGGTTTTATGAATCTGCCGCCTCTCTGACTAATTTGAGGAATTAAAAGTAGTTTTGTGATGCTTTCGCTTGGATTTCTGATTGGGCATTGCTGAAACTGTAAGATTTGGTTTGAAAACCCCAAATTGCTTTGAAAAGCAAGAATTGGAAGACTTTTAAATTTGGGCTTGGAACAAGACAAGGCCATCCTGGAAAAGAAAAGTCCTTGTCTGTCATTAAATCCTCAACTTGCATTATCTTTCAATCCCTCTTGAATCACCTGGTTCTGATCTCATTTTATTTGGATCTATAGGAAAGGTCATGGGCTCAGCCCACTGAGAAGATATTCTTTATGTCCTTCAGGTGAAGGTGCCAATGTAGAAAAGACTGTGTTCCAACCTCCTTAAGGAACAACTTTTCCCTGGGACAACTCACCCTGGGAGCTAAATAATTAAATTGAATTAAATAATTCAATTTAATTAATTATTTAAAATAATTAAAAAATTATTTTGACTTTTGTCATACACATTTCATTTTGTCCCTCCTTTTGCATCCTTACTTTAATGATTCCATTCCATCATTTCTTTGATAGTAGTATAAGTCTTATCCCCTGGTGAGTTGTCCTGCAGAGCAAGTTGGCCATAGCAAGCTGGCCGTGTTGAGTTGTCCTAAAGCAGAGGTCTTCAAACTTGGCAGCTTTAAGACTTGTGGACTTCAACTCCCAGAATTCTGGGAGTTGAAGTCCACAAGTCTTAAAGCTGCCAAGTTTGAGGACCCCTTTCCTAGAGCCACCTCTTCATTTGTTCTTTTCCATTAGGGAAAAAGTTGGGACTTTCCAGGGTAGGTTTAGCAGGAGGAGTGGCAGTATAACTCTGACTGTATCAACCATCTCTAGGAGGTATGTGCATTATCCAATGCTAGTTAATACTATATTTCAATTATTTCTTTGATTTAGAGTAGATTTTTAGGGAAGATGCTGTTCTAAGTGCAGAGAGTTGGACTCAAGCTCAGTTTCTGAAAAATGTGCATTTCATAGCTTACGAGCAACCTTTTTTCTGTAGGCCCATAAAGGATATTCTGAAAGCCACAAATCTCTAGAAGGCCTTTTTCTCTTGATCTGAAAATCTTGACAGGTTCATTATGGGAGAGGGAACACCTCAAATGAGCAATCTCTAAGATTAACACTTTACATCCCATTCTTCTTTAGTCTCATTCACACATCTCACTTGCCTAAGCAGGCAGTTCTAAGAATCTAGCTTTCATTTAAACTAGAAGATGGAATGTATAGATTGGCCTATGCCTTTGCATGTCCATGTCCATGTAACATATTAAAAACAAACCAGATATTTGCTCTCTGGCTTCTTCTGTCTGAATGAAGCCACTGTTCGTGGGGAAAAAAAATCAATTGTTACTTTTGAGTGTAGAATTTGTCATTTACTCATAAACCCAGGTAAGTGTGACAAAATGAACTTGGGCTTTCATCTGTTTCTTTGCAAAGATACGGCTTGATCTAAGGAATGACATAATGTCTCTAAAACACCTGGGTATAAAGTTATTTGATGATCTCACATCATTTCCAACACATTGCCTGGGAAAAAATAACATCTGCCCTTGGAGTCAGTTCTGAAGATAACTAATTGGCTGTACATATTTGTGTGTGTGTGGTGGTGGTGGGGAGAGGGGGTAAGGGATATAGGTGACTAAAACTGTTGCTAAGCTTTTTTGACACCTGAAATGGAAATAACTTCTGTACACAGTAATGTAAAAAGAAATGTCTTTAATGATGTCCAAGATCTGGGACTTAAGGTGAGTCCTGTGACGCCGAGTCATGTAAGGGCAGCCTCTCGGTGCTTGCTTTTTCAATCTGAATTCTGTTGGAGAGCTTAGTTTTCTCCACCCAAATACTCCATACCAGTCAAATAAAGTTCCATCTTTATCAGCTCAAAGAAATAGAATGTTGAAGCAAACATTCCATTAACATTGTGCACCAGAGATGTTGTAGGAGATTTTGTCATCCGGTTGTTAAGAATTGCATGTTGCCTTTCTCTCATTCATTTATACACAAACACAGGATTGTTATTTAACCTTCTGTTCTTTTTATGTGCACTTTCACTTTGCTTTTTTAAATATATTTTTGAAAAGTTCCTGGTATCTGTCAAGTTGATGAATTTAAAAGCCTTCTAAAAGCTAACCTCTTCACCTTGACATGCTCAAACCAATTTTTCACTTCTACCTCCCCTTTTCTATCTAGACATGAAAGAAAAGGCTCTGAATATTTTATGTGCAGTGCATAATTACTAAAGGCACAAGAATCAGGATGTTTTTTTACCTTTGTCAGTTGGCGAGCTGTGTCAGCTAATGTTTATGCTGCATTTTAGTGTTAGTGTTAGGCTGCCTTTATAGTATATATTTATTGTGTGCATGCCTGTGTTTTCTCTCAATTTCTCATTTGTGTAATCTTGCGTTCATTTTGTCATGATTTTGCACCAGTTTCTGATTTTTTTTCCTCCAGCAAGGAAAAAAAAGTACACATTTTCAGATGCATTTCCCCGATACACCTACTTGGAAACAGTCACATTTTTTGCAAGCCATTTCTCTTAATGTAATGTATTTTTTAATAATCTTTTCTAAGACTGCACACAGTTTGCTGTGCACTGTTGCTAAACATATCAATATTTGCACGCATATTTTTTTTTTTTTAGTCTGAGAACTGCTTTGAAAAATCCAGACAAATGCTAATGACAATTTTCCTAGGTAGTTTTTGGTTGGTTTGTTTTAAATAAAATTTGAATTGTAGTTTAAGGGGAATTAAGTGTAATAAAAGGGTTAGAATAATTAATATCTTTTCCTATATACTTCAGTAAGAGATCTCATTCTTAAGGCAGAAGAAGCAGAAAGGAGGAGGATGGGCACCACAACTGGTTTAAGGACTGTAGATTATCTACTTCTTCTCTACAACAATATGGAGGAAAGAAAGCTGGAATGACAACTTAGTTCAAAGTGGTGATGTTGCTAAGTCTTGCTAGAGTCATACTCTAAAATATGAAGGTTGAAACCAAGAGACCTTCTGCCTTGAATCTACTGCCTAAGCAGAAGTTCATGGTGAAATTGTCTTGAGCTAGGAAGCCTGGTACACAAAATCAGTCTAGAACTAGGACCAGAACTAGGACCAGAAATGATGTGCAGACCATATTCAATTGCATATTGGCATGGATTCCTTTAGAACAGAGGTCTTCAAACTTGGCAGCTTTAAGACTTGTGGACTTCAAGTCCCAGAATTCTCCAGCCAGCTATGAGAATTCTGGGAGTTGAAGTCCACAAGTCTTAAAGCTGCTAAGTTTGGGGGACCCTTGCTTTAGAACATAGAATAATAAAGTTGGAAAGGAGCTTGGAGGTCCAACCCCCTGCTGGAGCAGAAGATCTTATATCATTCCAGACAAATGGTTGGTCCAGTCTCTTTTTGAAAGCCTTCAGGGATGGAGCACCTACAACTTCTGAAGGAAAGCTATTCCATTGGTCAATTGCCTTCACCGTTAGGAAATTTGTCCTTAGTTCTAGGTCAGGGGTCTGCAACCTTAAACACTCAAAGAGCCATTTGGACCTGTTTCCCACAGAAAAGAAAACACCGGGAGCCACAAAACCCTTCCCATGCCTATTTCTTGAGCTAGCATATGTTGTTGAATTAAATGTTATGTTTTCTTCTGAAACTTTTCTTTCCTTGGATCTATCCATGGTTGGCCTACCGGAGGATGAAAAACTCAATAAATCATGTGCCGGTGGGTGTCGCACATTGGTGGTTGTGACACATATTTTGAGTGACAGGGAGCCACAGCAGAGGGGTGAAAGAGCCACATGTGGTTCCAGAGTCGCAGTTTGCTGACTCCTGTTCTAGGTAGTTTAATTAACTGTTTATTAAACAAGCTGTATTGCTTTCAGTCAGACACCCATTTGACATTTATTCTTAAAAGTTAAAGGTAAAAGGTTACCCTCACTTATATGTGCTAGTTGTTCCCGACTCTGGGGGGTGGTGCTAATCTCCGTTTCAAAGCCGAAGAGCCAGCGCTGTCCGAAGATGTCTCCGTGGTCATGTGGCCGGCATGACTAAATGCCAAAGGCACATGGAACGCTGTTACCTTCCCACCAAAGGTGGTCCCTATTTTTCTACTTGCATTTTTTACCTGCTTTCGAACTGCTAAGTTGGCAGAATCTGGGACAAGTAATGGGAGCTCACCCCATTATGCAGCACTAGGGATTCGAACTGCTGAACTGCCAACCTTTCAATCGACAAGCTCAGCGTTTTAGCCACTGAGCCACCGTGTTCTTATTCTTAGGCAGGCATTACATATGGACTCAACTTTCAGTGACCAATTATTCAGTTTTCAGTTAAATCTGAAAATACAATACATGGATAAGAAAAAAACATCTTCGGACTTCATATATCATATAGGCTTATGCATTGGCCAACTAGAGTTGGCTACATCTTTGTGTCAAGTGACATTTTGTTAGTAAACCCAATTTTGCAACCTGGCAATGCACAGAAAAGCCCATAGTCCAATTTCACGATAGGAATTTCACAGGAAAAGATGGGGGAGGAGGGGGAAGAGTATGTAATCACTTTTATTATTACTGTTTGCTTGTTTGTTGTTGTTTATTGGCTGTGACTCCATTTGAAAAGAACATGGTACCATTTGAACCCACATCATGCAGGAAAAGGTAGCAGGCAAGTTACAAACAAAAGTTACATTCACAAAGTCTCTACTTGAAGTCACCTTCTGGTTGATTTGGAAGGTGCTGCATGCATTCGAGAGAGGGGAGAAGAAAAGGAGAGCTTTCCCCCCTCTTATTAGAAAATGCCCACCTAATTACATGTTCTGCTCTGTTTATTATGTGAGTGGAGTGTGAAAACAAGCATGGTTTAAAAAGACATTGACTGAAAGATGTTGCCGACTGAGCACATAGAATCGCGGTTAACACGGAGTCAAACATATACAGAGGTAACGGGATCAGATATAAGTAGGACATTACATTCAAATCACAACAACAGATTCCTAATGGTTGATTCTAATGTTCTAAGAGCCTGTTTGAAAGAACGCATTAAACATCACTGGAGTGCTGTTTCTTGGTAGAAAGTTAGGGCAGATGGAAACAAAGCTAACATATTGTCCTGGAAACAGAGATGGAAATTCCCAAAGTGATATAGCACACAATCTAAGGTTTTGCTTCCTGTTTGTTTCTTTGTTTCAAACACAGAATAGCATTGTGATTTAATATTGCAGTCTGATTTTATATGGCTTTCTCTAAGGATAGATGCAAATTCATGAAGCTCCACTGCCAAACTTAACTGATCCCTTGGCTTCTCCAAACCCCCAAAGGGATTAATACACTGCTTTATTTATATTTAATTAAACAGAAATGTAGGGGAGACAACACAGAAATGAGGGAACTGTTCAAACTTGTGTAATCAATGAAAAGCATTTGTACCTGAGATAGAACTTATCATGATGGAATTTCAAAACCCAAATAAATGTTGAAAAATGTTATGTATTCTGGAAGAACAAAAAGATATGCAGAATCTAAGGAAAGAATCTCACTTCTCTTTGGTCTTCTTAATGTGTATTCACTGGCTGTGTTCTAGATGTCAGAGTTTCTGGAAGTGGTCCCAAAATTTATACAAATTTAAAAGCTGAGAACCCAGGGACTGTGCTGATCTTTCTTTTCAAGGTGGAAAATGCCCATTATAATTGTGTTCACACAACTACTGGCACATTGAGGGAGACAACCCCTCAAAACTGGCATTGCTTTCAGGTATAAACCACACATTCAGCAACATGATATGCCAAAGTCTGGGTATGTTTTGTCAGTTCAGATTGAATGGGTAAGAAATAAATTTTTAAAAAATGAAAAACATTTTTTTAAAAAAGCCTTGAATGCCAAAAAATAGCACATCAGAAGAATGATCCCCCCCCTCTGATTTCCTTAGTTTTGACATCCCAATGGTGAATAAGTTAATATAGGAAAACATTGAGACTAGACCAGTGATGGGTTGCCCCCGGTTTGCACCGGTTCTATAGAACCGGTAGTAAAACAGGCGGAAGGCCCCGCCCACCGACCCCTACGTCACCAAAATGCTTCTGCACATGCGCAGAAGAGCACGCACGCGGCTCCGTTGCAAACCGGTAGTAAAAGTAAGTAGAACCCATCCCTGGACTAGACCTATTTAATGCTTGAAGTAGAACAATCCTGAAAGGATCCCATCATATAATTTCATCATAGTTTGTCCCTAAGCTTACTTTAATAGAGCTGATTTAAGAGAAATACATTAGCTTTTCCTCCAGTCTTATATTTTTTCCCCCCAGTGATCCATCATGTATGTTTTTATTTGTTAAAAAAAATAGGAAAAACGTATGGCTTTAAATCCTATTGGACTCAAGATGGAATTGTAACTAATATTCCCTTTATTTTAGCAGGGACAAAAGCTGTTCTGTTTCAGAAGCTCCAAACTGAACTCAAATCAGATTCAAAAGACTTAACATACAGAATTATAGCTGGCTATCACAGGTATGATCTTTTAACCTACAATGAAATAATATATTTCTTCTCATTTTAATGAAGGATGAAACCAACCCTTAGACAAATTGGATTTTGCAAGAGGCAAAACCGGCTGCATTTCACACCAGGCAAGGACTGACTAATTTCAAATACAGAGATAAGCATAGCTGGAGAAGACCTGGGCTCATGATCAGTGCACCGATAAAACAGAGGATGGTGACTTTTTCTGGCACACAAAGCCATGTTCCCAGCTGCCTGAAATTACATGAACTAGTCAAATCGCATACTGTTTGGATAATCGTGTGATGGCTCATCGGAACTCATCATCTTTGAAGGCAGATTTGTCCATTGCACTGATTGCTGCTATGTTTAAATTGTTCTTTTACATTTTTTTATTTAATTTAGAAAATACAAGAGTTGCATGGATAGTGCTGAATGGCCAGGCACTGAAAAACAGCAACCAGAGGTTCATTTGCTATGAACTTTAGCCTTGGCAAGGCATTTAAAATTCTAAGCATGGAGGTGAAGCAGGAATATCTGACCCAAGTCAGCCCTACTTTCTCTACCTCTGATCTCATCTTAATGACAGGGAAGATCTGAATTGGATCTTGCTGAATGTGGCCTGCACCCTGAATGTGGCCTGCCAAGAACCCTGACTGGGCATATCTGCTGACCATAGAGTGGATTTGATTATGGTCATAGGAATATGGCTTGAGTTTTCCTTTAGATCAGGGGGTCTCCAACCTTGGCAACTTTAAGACTTGTGGACTTCAACTCCCAGAATTCCTCAGCCAGCAAAGGAAAGCTGGCTGAGGAATTCTGAGAGTTGAAGTCCACAAGTCTTAAAAGTTGCCAAGGTTGGAGACCCCTGCTTTAGATCATCCTCAACAACATGGCAAAGTTGGATGTGTGTGTGTGTGAAAAGGAAAGGGATAGGGTTAGATTAGACATCAATGTCTAATCCAGGCTTTCTGAATGCCTGGATACATTTATTTAAAAAAAGGGGGGGCACATGCTCACTTAGAAATTTAAATGGATTTAAATGTAATTCCTTGAGAACTATAGTTCTGGGTAAGAAGACGACAACCAGAGACTAATCAAAAATTCTTTTTTTCATCTTTGCAAAATTTCATTTTCTAAGATTCATGTGGGGAGCTCAGATCAATTAAAATAGCGCATGAAAAGATGCTTTCTTGCATTCATACTAAAGATAGAACTTCAGCAGCCTGAGCCTTCAACTAAATCCGAGAAGGAAGAAGGAGGAAATAAAGTTAGGTCAGCCTGGAAAAATAGGAAAAGATGCTGAATTTGGAAGTTGCTGGCTAAACTGAGAAGTATGAAGGAATGCATCTGTCACTTGATAATCCCCCATCTGAGTATATTAAGAATCTATTGAAATTAAAAGATGCCTGCATGATTTTGGGAAGATCACCTTATTGTCATGAAGGCATCTATTGAGCCTTTCTGTCTGATGGAATGAAGATGTTGGGACCAAAGGGTTGGATTGTTTCAAATGACCCTTTGAAGAAGTATTCTGTAGGAATAAATATTACGTGGGTTCCAATGGCTTTGAAAAGCTGGTAAGGAATGTGTCATTCTTGACCTTAGGATTCATAGGCCTAGAATGTTGTTTTCTATCATGATAGCTATATTGTATATACTTGTGTTCCTGTCAATAACACTGCACTTTTTTTAAAAAAAATGTTTCTTGTTATGGTTTCTATAAACTACCTTTTAAAACTTGTAATGGAAAATGTTATAAGTCAGGGTTTTTCAAACTGGAGTTCTATGAGAATGTAACAGTTTCTAAGGCTAAATGCAAAATAAAATTTTAAAAAATTGAATGCAACCAATTTTCCATCACCAGAGCTTTGTTTCCTGATCAGGATTTCTAGATTTAAAAAACAAAAACAAAAAACTAATAGTTTAACAGTTTTTAAAGTTAGATTTTGTTTAAGCAACACAGCCCAAAAAAGTAAGAAAACTCTTATGATAAGTGACTGAGGAAATACCTAAATGGAAAATTTATTTCCCCAACCAAGTCACTGGCACATGAGGGAAATACTGTTGTTGTTAGAAATGGAAATCAAATAATTAACAAGAAATAAAAAATGAATCATGTGCTCAAAGTCAGATTTTGAACAGAACACAAACAATGTTTAAAACCTTCATTTTTCTTTGCCTAACTGGGTACAATCCCAATGTTATAGAATTATAACTAGATGTGACTACAGCTAATTCTTAGTTCAAAATTCCACTATTGTCAACCCTAATGTCAACACATATGAAGGATTTGGAAAAACCTGTCAGGGGAATTCTGCTCAAATGATTCCTGTCTTGGAAACTGACTTCTCTTTTCACAAGAGGGGTTGCCAAGATTGCACATTAAAAGAAAACACCACAATGATCTCTTTCCCTTCCCCATTTAGAAATGCTGTGCTCAACCTTGTAATCTCAATAATGAACATCTTTATAATTTAAAATAAAAAGTTTCAATATGGCTGCACCACTCACCACTTAAGCACATTATTTCCTGACAAAACTTGCTGGGATGATTTCCCACTAAACTTTATTATAAAGATCAGGAAGACTAAAAAGATGTTTTGAGCATTCACGCTTTCTTTAAAACCCATTAATAAGCTGTATTATTCACGAAGTTTATTGCCATACGTAGCCCATTATGCAATGTAGCAATAGCACTTAGACTTCACTGCTTCACAGTGCTTTATAGCCCTCTCTAAGCGGTTTACAGAGACAGCATATTGTCCCCAACAAATTGGGTCCTCGTAATGTTACTTTGGCTAACAGAAATTATTTGAATGCTCCCCCAAACAAAATATTTCACTTTGGGACATCAAGAGATTCCCAGACATATTGGCTTTTTTTTTTTTTTTGCTTTTTTTGGGGGGTTAAAAAGAAACATATATGGAAAGGGGTTTTTTTCCTTCTAAATATAAAAATACATTTCTTCTACATTATAGTCATTCCCACATCTGTCTTCCCTATATAGGCTGTAGTCATACAAAAAATGACACTATCACATGATGCTGCCGATCGTGGGGCCCTGCTCTGATTCCCATTCTAAAGTGAACACAACTGTCTTTTCCCACTGGGTGTAGGCTAGGTATAAGGACACACCAAGAAAACCTTGAGAAAACTATTCAGAGATGATTACAACAACCAGTGCAAAAACAGAGAAAGGATCAGGCTGAATCCTTCCTGATTCCTGGGATATAAGCGAGAAGAAAGGAAAAAAAGACATAGTCAGGATTGTAAGACACTGTTATGATAACTAAGTAATTCTCAACCTCAGCCTCTTTAAGATATATGGACTTCAATTCCCAGAATTCTCCAGCTATCATGCTGCTGGAGAATTCCAGAATTTGAAGTCCACACATCTTAAACTTGCTGAGCTTGAGAAACAAGAGTCTATTTCAGTTGACAATGTTCTACTCAAACTCTAGACTCGTTTCCTGATCAGGTCAACTTCAAAGAGCTAATATTGGTAGTTCCAGTTCTGATCATGGGCAAGATTGATGACTTTGACTTGATGCCAAGACACTAGAGAACAGAAGCAATCTTTTGCAGTTTTGCCAAATCTGGGCTACAAACATCCAGATGATCACGAGATAGCACTAAAAAGTATAGACATATACTCTTAATTAAAAGGTCAGGAACTGAATTTGGGATTGTAAAAAATAAAATAAAATAAAAATACATATAATATTGCTGAGCTACTAAACTATAGCCATTCCCTGATTTTGAGCCAGGCTTTAGTCTGCTTAGTTTCAGTAAGTGGCTATCAGACATAAAACAAGGATTTTTATTATGATGGGCAGCCTAAGTACGTAAAAGATAACTGACATAAGCCAATGCAAATTGGACTCTGAATCAGTATGAACCATTGTCATTTAGTTCCTTTTATTCTCTTTGGATGGAAATTTATGTGTTGTACATGTACAATAATAGTATAACTAATAATAAGTATTTATCTGGAATATGATGGCTTCTGTGTGACCAGTGACATGGAATATTGGCCTACAAATTGATCTCAGGCTTTAAATTGTTAAAGGACTTTGAATTTTTTTTTTTTTAGGATTAGTTCAAACTTTAGTGAAGAAGCTTTTAACACCTCTAAGAAACTATGCCTCTCATAACTCACTTTAGTAGCTAACACCCTATCGACTGTTGTAAAAAAGAGAGAGAGAAAGAAATTTAACAGGGTAACTCTATCTGCCTGTTAACTAAAGAGTTAACATAGAGTTACCAGCTGTCCAACAAAAGAACAACATGATCTCCTTTTTGTCTATTTCAATGTCCTCCATCCAGCAGGCATAGTCTTAAAATCAAATATTATCAGGCTTTTTGAGCATCTAATAGGCTTTCTCTGCAGCTTTTTAATTGTTTTCCAGTTGTTAAGTTGTATCTGACTTTTTGTGACCCCCCATGGACCATAGCACGCCAAGCCCTCTGTCCTCCAATGTCTCCTGGAGTTTCCTCAAATTCATATTCACGGCATCAATGACACTATCTAACCATCTCATCCTCTGCTGTCACCTTATCTTTCTCAACATCTGGGACCTTTCCAACGAGTCCTCTCTTCTCATTAGATGGCCAGTTCAGTTCTTCCAAGAACAGTTTCTCTAATAAGTTCTAACAAGTTAACCAGCACAGTTTTATAACCTTAGTTAATTAAGTGCCTCCTGGGCTTGTGCTGCTGCCTGAAATTGACAAGATTTTCATCAGTTACTTGCTGAATATCTTTGCATCCTAATGGGCTGTAGCCCATGTCTGTGATTGGAAGAAAGGGTATTTCTGATGCTGAGAAAGGTGATTTTATATACACATAAGGGAAAGTCCTTTTTTTTTTTTTTTGCAGTTTATCACTGTCTGTCCTCCTTTCCTCTCATTTGTCCTCCTTTCCACTTGTTAGTGTCCCCCTTCCATCTGTTCAGATATCTGGTAACCCTAGCTTTGTGGTGTTTTGTATTTGATATCAAAATATATTTGGAACCTGCAGAAGCTCAGACACACTACCTGTCTATGACATCTTAAACCAAATCCCCCCTCCCCCTGGGATTATGTAACAGTCCTTTTAGCATGGGATGGCCACAACTCCCATTTTCATCAAAATCACAAAAGGGGCCTCCCGCTAGATGTCTGTCTGATGTCACAACCCAAGAGCAGGTACAGGGCTTGAAGTGGGGTCAACACACTGTTACTTTCCTCACACTGACTGGTTGGATCCCTTCCTGGGGATGTTGCTGACTTTCAGAGCTGAACCTGGCTCTTCATGGTCCCCCTAGGATTATGCTAGAAGGGGAAAACAAGCTATAGGATGTGAAAACAGCTTTTAAAATGCATTCGTTTGTATTAACTCTTCATTGTGGCTATTCTCACAGTAAAAGTGAGTTGCCAAAATGATTTTTGAGAGCTTTGATCCTTATTGAAAAAGTACAGGTGGGCCTCTCTATCCCATATGTACTTGGAGTAAAACATATTTCTGACTACTCTCTTCCATAAAATGTGTATACTTTACTACTAATGTATAAGCGACTACTTTCTCTCAGAAGATAAAGACAGAGCTGAATAGTCACCCATGTTGTGATTAAAAAAGTTATTTGATGGAGATGAATATTTCTCTTGGAGTTGTATTTTGGAGAACATTCCATTTTTCTTGTTGAAGTTACAACCACCCCCTTGCCAGATGTTCTGCTGCTCTATCTTTCTCTTTCCCTTCCCATCTGGTTCTGGCTTCTACTTCAGTTTTCTGAGCTTAACCTCATAAAGTGATTAGAAAAGATATATTAACTGGGACAATGATCAATAGTTTTGCCCCCCCCACCACCCAGTGACAATAGGAGGGGGTAAAAAATTAAATGGAGACTGAGGATAATGCATCACTGAGAAATCACATGAATGATCCCAGACAATCAGGAATCAAAACATAATATGTGGATTGTGTGTAAGAGACAGAGTAAAATAACAACAACAAAAAAGGATATGTTTTAAGGTACCGGTATGTGATGAGGGCAAACAAAATCACGAGGTGGGAGGAGAAGAAAAGAAGAAAAGAAAGGGAAAGGAACATACACAGTCAAATGTTTTCATAGGTATCATACAAATTACAGCTAGTCCTCGTTAGCAACTGCAATAGGGACCGACAATTCTGTTGTTAAGCAAAGCGGTCGTTACATGAACCCGCAACTGTGCTTACAATCTTCCTTCAGCTTTTTTTTTTTTTTTTTTGCTTTACAAACTTGCAAAGGCCATAAATGTGAGGATTGATCACAAAGCTACCTTTCTGTCACCGTCATAAATGTGAACGGTCTCCAAACAAGGCAGTCACTAAACAAGGACTACTTGTACTGAAACAAGGATGGGTTTTTTTTCTTCAGAGACTGTCAAGAGTAAAAAACGACTACCTTCACTCTGCTATTTCTCTCTCCTATGCTGTGATGTTGGGGACAGCCTAATTCCTTCTTAGACTTTTCCTGGGCAGGGAGAAGCTACCTGTAGCTCGCTTTGGCTGAAGCTTCCTTCTTTCTGGAAGAGGCAAACCAAATATGCCCCTCTCCCTTTCTCTGTATAAGAAAACACCTGTCCTTTCATTTAAAAACACATGTAAAACTATGGCTTTAGAATAATAATAAGAGGAATAAAAAGTTGTGTAGACTGCAGCTCATTAATCTTTTCCATCCCTTTGGAGGCATCGTCTAGAAGTGAGGATGTACAAAATCAGGAATGGAAGGGAGGGCGGGGCTCAAGGGAATGGCTGGGATTGGAGCAGAGCATGGGAAGGGAAGGGGCGTGAAAGGTGGTGGTAAGTCTAAATTCCCCATTGGTCAATGAGAAATCCATTGCTTTACTGTCCATGGACAGGCTGGCAGTCTGTCGCAGTTTACTTCTTAAACATATCCTGAAGCGGACCCGGCAGATATTTAATAACGGTATCTAGGATGCTTTCCTCTTCCTCCTCATCCTCGTCCCCACAGCCCGGCGGGATGGCCTTCTTGGGACGCGTCAGGCTGCCTTCTGCATTTGCTTCCAGAGCGGCTTGGGCCTCTGCTTCTCTTTCCTCCTTCTTCTTAATGCCATACTACAGAAAGGGGAGAGAAAGAACAGAGGCTTTAAGCAATGGATGGAAACCAACCACTCAGGAGAACTAACCTAAAATTAGGAGAAATTTCCTGACAGAACAATTAATCAGTGGAACAGCTTGCCTTCAGAAGTGATGGGTGCTCCATTGCTGGAGACTTTTAAGAAGAGATTCGACAGTCATTTTTCTGAAAGGGTATAGGGCAGGGCTGTCAAAGTCCGAGCCCACGGGCCGGATGCGTCATGTGTTAGCCACGCCCATGCCCAGTTTAGCAAAGGTCCCGATATGTCACGTGACAACGCCATCACGCCGTGAGTTTGTCTCATCACGCCGTGAGTCTCTTGCTTGAGCAGGGAGTTGGACTAGTTTGGGGTGGGCAAATGTGGCTCTTTTACAACCTGTGACTTCAACTCCCAGAATTCCTGAGCCAGCCAAGCTGGCTCAGGAATTCTGGGAGTTGAAGTCCACAGGTTGTAAAAGAGCCACATTTGCCCACCCCCGGACTAGAAGACCTCCAAAGTCCCTTCCAATTCTGTTATTCTGTTATAATCAGAGAGGATTATTGGCTGAGTGACAACATTTGCTTTAAGGAGGATGACATCATGCCAGAACCTATTCTGGCCAATGCTGCACTCTGCCTTTAAATCAAATAATAGTTTTAAATATCAGGTCAGGTGGTGAATGATAGAGCTGAGGAAAGACAGGCTAATTTTTCCTTAAAGCAAAGAAACATTACAAACCAGCTAAGCCCTTAGACTCTCCTGCTCTGCCGCATAAACATTAGAAATGCAGAATTCATCTTTAAAGCCCATGATAGTCCTCCATTTACAACCCATCATTGAGCCCAATTTTTTGTTGTTGTTAAGCAAGATAGTTAAGTGAGTTTTTTGCCCCATTTTACAACTTTTCTCACCACAGTTGTAACATGGTTGTTAAGTGAACCCTGCTTCATCCATTGACTTTGCTTTTCAGACGTCGCAAAAAGGGATCACATGATCTTGGGGCACAGCAACCTCATAAATATGAATCAGTTGCCAAGTGGCTGAATTTTGATCATGTGACCATGGAGATGCTGCAAGTCATAAGTGCCATGTAACTTTGAACAGTCACTAAATGTATAGTTGTAAATCAAGGACTAGCTATAATGTATTTAGAGATTATGCAATCATACACATAAGCGAAATATTTGTTAAATGAATTTTGCCCCATTTTACAACTCTTCTTGCCTCAGTTGTTAAGTGAATCACTTCAGTTGATAGGTTAGTAACCCAGTTGTAAGTGAATCTGGCTTCCCCATTCACTTTGCTTTTCTGAAGGTTGCAAAAGGGGATCACATGATCTTGGGACACAGCAATGGTCATAAATAAACTGTGAAAAATGATCATAAATTATTTCTTTCAGTGCTGTTTTAACTTTGAACAGTCACTAAACAAACTGTTGTAAGTCAAGGACTACCTGTACCACTTCGTAGTGCTTTATAGACCTCTCTAAGTGCTTTATAATGTCAGCACAATCTGGGCCCTCATTTTATTGACCTTGGAAGGGTGGAAGGCTGAGTTAACCTTGAGCCTCATCAGGATTGAACTCCTGGCAACGGGGCAGAGTTATCCTGCAATACCGCATTCTAACCACTGCACCACCAGGGCAGTGAGTATGGAATGAATGAATAGTTCCAGGAACCAGTCTAGGCTTTTCCCAATTTAGGAAAGGCTCTAAATGGCACCTGCCTGTGGTATCTTTCCCCATCAAGAACCGTATGTGGGTGCCAGAAACACTTACAGGATCTGATTCTTTCACCTCCATGACAACCAAAACCATGTTGTGACCTTGAGCCTAAATGCCACTTTTTGGAATAAATGTGTGCCACTCTATGATCATCTTCTCCCAGCCAGGGTTGCATTCCAATCTATGGAGCTCTATCATGAAAATGGAATATGCCGATAGTTGCTAAATAATAAAATGCTTGCACCTCATTTTAGAAATACCAAAATAAAGAGTTTTGGCTTTAAAAAAAAAACCAATACAAAACAAAAATCTTATCAAATTCCCTGCCTTCAGCTTTGATTCTTATGTACAGACTCTCAGTCTTGAAAATATCCTGCGGCGATGAGGTGTCATTTCAATTATGCAGCATTAAGGATGCACTTCACAAGCAAAATGACTTGGAGAGGTCAGATCATCTTCTCTGAAATTATTCGTCTGTCGGATCCAAAAGTAATTGCATTTCCTGAATGGTCCCTACACCTTTTCTGGTTGGCTTTGCATTCTAATTAAACCACTGTACGGAAATCATGATGGAACTCAATATACACATGAAAAAGGATAGTTGGTTAGGGGTACATTCTTCAGGCTAGCAAAACATGTGATGAGAATAAGTGAAAAACCTGAAAAGAAATTACGTGGGATTTCAAACAGATTTAAAGGATTATATCAGGACAACACTTTTCAGCAATCCTCCTGGTTCGAATATGTGAAGTGCAGATGTTCCTTTGATGGCTTTTTTTTTTTAAAGAAAAGAGAGCTATTAAATTAAGTCGAAGTGATTAGCGGCGCTACTGATAATTCATCTCCATAAGTTAGCAGATAAACAAACTATACCTTTCAAAGGAAGAATATACACCCAGCAAGGCCCCAAGAAACCCCTCGATACTTTTCATAGTAATTAATTCATGCAACCACTTGATTAAAGGCCAGTTGCTTCAAAATTCAGCAATCAACATTATGATTGCAACAACTTTTAACTACTTCCCCTGAAATTAGTGAGATTTTATTCTAATATTATCATGGGATTACATGCAAAGGTGGGCGGCACATGAATTAACAATCGGTTCGCCCAGCACCGAACATGTGAGCACGCACGCACGCTCACTTTGCTCACGCGTGCACCTTGCATGCATGCTCACAGCCTGCACATGCCCTTTGCTCGCATGTGCGGCTTGCACGCATGCACACGGCTTAAAAAACACAGCTAAATAGGACAGCATAGTGCCAGGGTGGGTGGGCAGGGGTGGGTGGGCAGGGGCGGGCCCATCCCCCCCCCACCCCCCCCCCCCCCACCCACAGGTCCCAACTACCGGTTTGCCTGAACCAGTCCAAACTGGCTGAATCCCACCTGATTACATGATCTGTTCATGGAAATAAGTAACCTAAGTAGTTGCTTCCATTGCTTCTTATGAGAATTTCAACTTTCCCTGCTTTATAAAAAACAACCAATGTCCTCTAGATGGTTTAGACTACAGAAGGAGTGTCAAACTGAAGGCCCAGGGGCTGGATCCGGCCTGCAGGGTCCTTAGATCTGGCCCATGGGGCCACCCTGGAAACAGGACCAGCCCATAGTGCCTCTGCCAAAAAAAATGGAGCTCTGAAGGGCTGCTAGTGGTCCTCCCAAGCTCTGTTCTCGCTTGCAGAAGGTTGCAGGAGGCCATCGCAGCCGAAAACGGAACTCGGGAGCCCGTTTTCACTGGCAGAGCACTCGGGCTACCACAGGTGCCCCGACATGAGTGATGTTGAGCTGACCATGCCCACCCTGTTCCCCTGAAATCAAACACAACCCTGGTGTGACCCTCAATGAAATCGAGTTTGACATCCCTGGGCTACAGTTTCCACAAGTTTTCCTCATTAATAATGCTGATTGGGGTTGGTTGGAGCTGAAGTCCAAAACCCATGGAGGACATCAAGTGACCCACTGCACATATAATATTACTCAATCAAAAGAACAATATACAAGTACCCTAACCATGTTCCAATATCTGCTGGGTTACTTTTTTTAAAAGTCAACCATCCTTCTTCAGCCGCAAAATGATACGGTTATTACATTGACCAGTCTGAAGTATAGGATATGTTGCATTTCCTCACTTGAATGTGGAAACTTTCCTTCCAGTGAAATACTAGGTATGTGAGGCAATAGGATCCAGTTTTGGAATGCAGTCACTATGGGTAAAGAGTTAAAAATCAACTCGAAGCCCAAATATTTCCATTATGGTCCTAATGTAACCTAATTCAGACCTCTCTTGCCCTAAATGTTGGATGGATGGCTGGATGGCTGGATTAATGGATGGATGGATGGATGGATGGATGGATAGATGAGATAGATAGATAGATAGATAGATAGATAGATAGATAGATAGATAGAGATACTGCATTTAGCATGGCCCCAAGAAACACTCCAAAGACTTGAAACTGCTTTACAAAAGTTAACTGTAGTTAAAAAAGAAAAAACTAACATCAATAAAAATATACTGTAACTGCACTGAAGCTGAAGGGTTATGTTTCATTTCTGTTGCATTTAGTAGCTCCCATCCTACAAACAATAGAGTTAATATAGAGCAGTGATGGCTAACCTTTTTGCCATCATGTGCCAAAAATGGGGGGAGTGCGGGGGGGGCGCACGTGTGCGCCCACACCCATAATTCTATGTGCCCTGCCCCTGTGCATGTGTGTGTGATCCCCCTGTGCTTCTCCCGTTTTTGGCACGTGATGGCCTGGTGGGCCCGATAGGCCCATTTTTCGCCCTCCCCAGGCTCCTTTCTAGGAACCTGGGGAGGGTGAAAACAGCCTTCCCCACCCCCACCCCCTGGAGGCCCCCCGGAGGACGGAAACGGCCTGTTTGCCGACTTCCAGTGGGCCCAGAAGGCCAGAAAATCAGCTGGTTGGCACGCGCATGTGCGCCGGAGCTGAGCTCGCGTGCCCTTGATATGGCTCCACATGCCACCTGTGGCACACGTGCCATAGGTTCGCCATCACGGATATAGAGAAACATAGTTCCATGGACAGAATAGAGATCCTCCGTGTAGGTTTTTAACCCTGAAACCTTTTTTTCTGCTTAAAAATAGTTCACTGCTCTTTCCCCAGGGCAAATTTATGGAGGGAAATACTCCCCACTCAGTCAAAAGAAAATCAGATCATTCCTTGCAAGAAATAACTTTCAACAAGACTCAGTATACAATATTGGCAACTGTTCAAATAGGATCAGGCATATTTTGATTCCGGCATTCTTCCCT